TTTGATTATTTATTACCTTCATTTTTTTGAATACAACTTGTTCAATTCCATTGTAAGTTCATACAATTTAATTTTTTAGAGCAGCTGTCTTTAATTACTGGCTCATACAAATTTACTGGAAATTTCTTCACTGGATCTGGCCAGCCTGCGCCACCATTCTCCCACCACAGCACAACTACCATGTTACAAAGGAAGAAGCTGAGGTATAGGGAAGATAGGTGACTTGACCTGCTGTTGCTGCGTAGCACCATGTTGGAACAGACCCATAGTTGACTCTGCAGAAGCAGTAAATTGCATGGGGACAGACTGCCCCCTTATTCTCTCATAGAGCAGCTGATGGATTCAAACTGTCCACCATTGGGTTGGCAGTGCAGTTCCTTACCATTAAACCACCAGAGCTCCTCAACTTGTCCTAAGGTCCTGTGTTTATGACTTCAAATGGGCAATATCATGAGAGATGGAGAAAAGACTGAAATTGTCAATGATTTCATCTCACTTGGATCCACAATCAATGCTCTTGGTATCACCAGTTAAGAAATCAAGACATATTACATCGGACAAATGTGTTGTCAAGGACTTCTCTGAAGTGCCACAGAGCAACAATGTCACTGTAGAGACTAAGGAGCACCAGGCCCAAGCCCTGGCGGTTTTAGTTACTTGCTAGGCATCTGGAAGTTGGATAATGACTACAGATGACAGAAGCATCAATGTCTTTGAGCTGGGATACTGGAGAAGAGTACTCAATATCCCCCGAACAGTCAAAAGAAGAAACAAACGTGTCATGGAAAAATAAACGTGTCATGAAGTGAAACCAGGGTGCTCCTTGGAGGCGCGGAGGGTGAAACTTCATCTCCCACATGTGGAGCATGTTGTCTGGAAGAATCAGTCCTTCGTGCTTGGAGAAGTGGAGGGCCAGAGAAAGAGAGGAAGCCCCCTAACAAGACGGATTGACAACAGTGACTCTAATTATGGGCTCGGAGGTTCTCAGCATCTCAGAGAAGATGAGGATGGCGCAGGATAGGACTGCTTTCAGATCTGTTGTTCATAGATCACTGTGAGTCATGGTCAACTCAACGGTACCTAACACCACATCCCTTTGCTGTGACACTTCCTCAAGCTTGCAGCTGTGGGAACAGGCTCTTCCAGCACACACAGTCTGACGGACGCGGGTGCTGTGTTAGTTCCTGGACCCCAGCAGCTGCCCTCGAACCCAATATGCCTCCGAGAGACCCTCGTGTGTGCTCCGTGGGGTTTTCAATGGCTGAACTGTCAGGAGCAGACTGTCAGGCCTTTCTTCCTGGGCACTGGGGCCTGGGCTCAAACTGCCAACCCCCCTCCAGGTTAGCAGTTCAAAGCCACTCAATGGCTCCGTGGAAGACCAGGCCAGGCGCTCTGCTCCCAGGACGGTCACAGCCTAGAAAGCCCTACGGGCCAGCTCTCCTCTGTAACACGAGGTCTCTGTGAGTGGGAATCGACTCAATGGCACCCGATAATGACAGCGACAAATCTCCAAGTGTGTCTGTAGGTGCGAGCTGCCACCAAGTCAGCCCCTGGGCCATCGAGGTCCTGCACAGCTGGACGAAGGTCTTACACCAGCCCTGCAGTCGGTGACACCAGACCCTCACCTTCCGTGGGCTTTGCACCGACTCACGTGGTGTCTCTGCGCAGACTCAGCATCACCCCACCCGCTGCTCTGGCCCGTCCTTATTTGGTGGGTTCAGAGGGGCGACTGTTTACAATTGTGATCACAGTTAACATAGAAAGGACCTGTGCTTCTCATGCGACTACACGGGGACTCCTACTGCTTTAATCTTTGCCCTGTTCTTGGACATCAAGCACATTCTGATTCCATACCCAGGCTCAACAGGACGGAAGCACAGAGGCAAAGGTCAGAAGTGTTTTATGGTTGTATTATTGCGGGGTGGGGGGACAGCCAAGACTTTGCTGGATGAAGACAGGTGAAGCCTTTCTGCGGCCTGTAGACAGACGCCTTGCAAACCCGGAAAGGAACCCATCCCGGGATCAGCCTTCAGCCCAGCAACAAACAGGGCTGTAAGCCCCACCACCTCTCAGAGCAGTAACAGCAGGGCACTGACAGGGCAGCATTTGCACAAACACAAAGCTCCCCAGCAGGAAGGGGCAGGAAAAAAGGACGAAGGGCAACAGGAACTGGGGGAGGAAGTGGGTCTTCCAGAGCTGTTACACCAAGGACATTGCAACTCAGGTTGCAAAACAAAGTCAGTAATAATGGCTGGGTTGGAAATTAATGTGCTGTGTACACTTTAACCCAAAGCACAATCAAGATTGAAAATTAAAAAAAAAATTCCAATGGTTATCAGGGATGGGAAGGGAGAGAAAAGGCAGTAAAAAAACAGAAAAGAGGTAGTAATATTCAGACTCAGTGCCATCTGCAGCTTCGTCTGACATACTTTGGACATGTTGCAAGAAGGAACCACTCCTTGAAGAGAGACGGCATGCTTGGGAGGGTGGAGGGACGGCACAGGAGGGGAAGACCCTCGATGAGGTGGATTGATTCAGTGACTGGGGTCATGGGGGTAGGTGTGTCGGAGACAGTGAGACTGGCACAGGATAGAGCAGGGTTCAGGGCTATTGTACATAGAGTTGCATCATATTTCTCCCTCAGAGCCACCTGTGGATTCGAACCAACAGTGCACCACCTTGGCCTTAAACAGCACGGCTTCAATGGACTATGCCATCAAAGATGGGTGGGCAGAAAAACAATCACCAACAAGGGGGCGGTCAGCACGACATCATTCAAGAAAAGGAAGACACAGAGAGGTGGAGAGGGATTCGTGGAAACAAAAAATACAGAGAGGGAGGAGGGGGAGGTGTAACTAATCAAACAGCGGGTCTTGAAGGTGATGTGATAGGACAAAATGTATAAACCATTCAATGAAGAATTCCTTTGCTCCATAAACCTTCATGAAAATGGTAATGAACTAGGAATGTTGTGGTGGTGGTGGTTATGTGCCATCAAGTCACTTGCTACTCATGAAAAACAGCTCTGAAGCCTGCCTTAACCTGAGCCAGTCCCACTGACTACAACACATCAACCCCCATTACTCCAGTTACTATCTCATCCCATCTCATCGGGGTCTTCCTCTCCTGCATTGTCCGTCCACCCTCCGGAGCATGATGTCTTTCTCCAAGGACCAATCTCTCCTGGCCACGTGCCCAAAGTATGTGAGACAGAGCTTCAAAATCCTAGCCTCCAAGGAGAAACTTGGTGTTACCCTCTCCAAGACAGATCTCTTTGTTCTCCTGACGGTCCACGGTATGTTTAATACCCTTTTCTAGGCCCACAACTCAAAGGCATCAACTCTTCTT